TTAATCTCTGTTCCCTTAGGTTCTTTTGAAGGAGTTTACCTAAAAATACTAGGGAAAGAAAATGTTATTTATAAAGTAAAGGCTTACACGAAAGGTTTGTAAACTTTGAAAGTGCACCAACTGTGAGATGCCTTGGGCACTAAGGATGAGAGCTAAGGCGAATGCATCAGTGAGTGGCATCTTGCAATAGAGTGAGGGCAGAACGACTCCTGCAAGCTTGGCAAAGAAGTTACCTAAGGCCACAAGTTGTACAACTATGATGTCATCGAAAGAAATTAGATCGTAGTTGAATCTATTACTGGAAGTTAAGAAGAACAAGGGCAAAAGCAGTCCCGAGATCAAGGTATCTAGCCTCTCTACCAATGCTGATCCAAGAGGTGGACCTTCTGGCACTGCTAGGCCAAGAATCAATGGTCCAATCATGTAGTGCTCCCCAATGACCTCACCAAATAATGAACACCCCAACACCATGACATAGATGGAAACTATATAGGACTCTTTCACGGGTTTCCCTTTGGGTGTCATGCGTATCATCCATAACATGATAGGTCGACAAATACACAGGATGACAAGCACCAGTGCAATCAGACTGATGCTACCGAATGAAAAAGATTTTGCTGTGTATTTTTGCATAGATTTTGTTCGGTGCGAGACTACGATGCCTTGCCACAACGCACTGAACCCTCCATTTATCATAGATGAAGAGATTGCTAATCGACCAACCTCGGAATTTAGGAGCTTAAAATCTTGCAATGCACTGGTAGTGGCTTGAAAGGAACCAGTTGATGAGAAAGCCGCAATAAAATATAGGGACTTGTAAACCTTTAAATCCGGGGTCAAATATTGCTTTAGAATATAAGCTGCACCTAAGCTAAAAAGGAGTGGGAATACACAAGAACATAAGCCAATGGCCCAAGTCTTTTTCCCTGTTCTAAAAACTAAACGTGGTTCTACTTTCACTCCCACCAAGAACAGAAACATCATCACCCCGTAACGAGAGATTGCGTCAACTATGTAGATAGATCTTGAGGAGAACAACTTTTTAAGGTTTGAAGCTTTCCCCAAAAATGATGGTCCCGTTAACAACCCTGCCTGAATACATGCATTTCCATAACCAATATCATGTAAAACACAACATTAAAGGTGCTTTAAGCATTGTTATCTGATCAAAAGTATAGTTTATATTTTGATAATCTGCAGAATAAATGTCAGAAACTTTACAGTTATAAATACATATGATGATATTACCAGCACATGTGGAATGAAGGTAGTCTCCCCGAGGGGGACAAGAAGAAACTCCAAGAATAAGGTGGACAAGCACGCTATGGAGGCCTGTAAAATGATCGATGTTAGCGTGTAGTTTAAAGGGTTGTCGTTGAAGAACATTCCTTTGGGAAAAGGTTGAAACGATGTTGTATTTTCGCAAACCCATAAAGTTTTGTTTAAGGACATTTTGTGACCTATAGAGACGGTTCCAACAAATCAACCATGATTTGCAATGAAGATCCTATAATAATTTGAGGGAGGTTGTGGAATTAAGAGATGGAAGAGAATGAAGAAGAAGGGATAAAGTCAAAACCTTCAAATATAAACCTGTTTTGTTGACTTATTTAGAAGATGTAGATTATGCACCACCAACTTCTTCAAAAGTTACTGTGATTATTCATTTCTAGCGGCAATGCTGAATTGCGGATTGGAGACTTAAAATTAGTTTTGTTTTGTGATTAATTCATGATACTTTTGGCAGTCAAATGGGTGGTGTTGACATAAAATGGTACAAAGCCATTTAATATCACCTTTTATAGGCAATTCATTAACACATATTCCCACTAAAATCCCATTAAGAGATCTACAACATCCAATAAACGTAATCTAACACAATCTCTTTTTCATAATGTAAATATCTTTTAATTTGATTAAAATTTTTAAAATGATTTTATTTTTTAATTTGAATATTGTATTCATTTGAGGGTTCAAACTGAGAGGTTTAAAGAAATTTTGGAGCAGAGAGGTGTAGGCAAGAGATGAGACCGAGCGGTTTATATTAAAATGAGAGTGATATATTAATGAAAGTTTCAAAAATTCGTTCCATTTTCTAAATACAGCTATATCTCTCCAAAACTTTTACTCTCTTCTTTTCTTCTCCTTCTCTCTAGATTTCCTCAATCTCACTTCATCTATTTAACAATCAGATCGTGGCTAAGCAATCAGAGTGTCAAGAGCTTTCTCTTTCACCGAACGGTTTAGTGTTTAGAGTTGGTATGTTTGGTTCCGTTAATTCTTGTGAATTTCTGGATGTTCTGGCACATAAAAGTAAGCCTTATTGTTTGCATGTGTTCATGAGTCTTCTCTTCCTCTTTCTAACTTCATTTTCTAGCGTTCGGTCTAGTTATAGTTTTCGGTCTTGACCTAGTGTTCGGCCTAGATAAAGTATCTAGTATAGTCTAAGTTCTCGGTCTCACACTAATACTCGGTTTGTATTGGTGTTCGGTCTTAACTACATTCGGCCTCTAATGGACCTCATCTATTATTACTATTTCGATCATGTTTTAGTATTCGGTCTAAGCTCTAAAGTGTTCAGTCTAAGTTATAGACCGTTCAGTCCTGTTCTTTGGGATAGTGAGAAACCGTTCAGTTTCCAACGTACACAGCGTGTTCGGTCTTGCATGTGATTTCCATTGTTGTTTGAAAACTTGTTTAAATTTAGTTATAAAAACATGCTATGTATGAATAATGGAGTGGATGTTTTTATAAAGGATTATGTTTCAACTGGTATGAAAGAGAATTCCAAGGAGGAATGTCTTAGTGATTGGTTATCAAAGTGGTGATAAAGTATGAATATGGACAGCGAAATCCACGGCGTTCATCCTGAAATTCTAATGATTACCAATTCTCAAGTAGAGATGGGTAAGCCGTGTCGTGAGAATAGCAGGAGACTCTAGCCTAGGGGGGACCTATAGTGAGTGATAACGGGCTAACCTCGTGTGGCAGCTAATGGGTTTTCAATTAATACACCCACGAGTGCACGAACGACCATAGCTACATATTCATACTAGTCCGGACGATCAGGTTAAAGTGGTTGGTCAATATGTGTTCATATGCTTTACACATATGTTTGATTATCTGATATGTTTGTTTGAATCATATGCTCACATGACTATTAAATTACACTAGCTTACCCTTCTTTTCTGTCTTGTATATATTGTCCGTTCGGTATTTCTTCTTTGCAATGATCATCCTGTGGGTGTGAGCAGAGGATGACGAGTGTTCTCTAGAGCAGGCGTTGGTTGGAGAGGATCCATCTGCTTAGATTAGAGTCGTTCGGTTGTGTGTAATATTTTGTAGGGACGGTTCGGTCATGTATATAGTTTTGTATTATGATAGAATTTTGTAAAGTTTTAAATTTATGGTTATTTTAGGATAACTGTAAGTTAACTTTATTTCCAGAAACTGTTCTACATTATTTTTATGTGATGACTCTTATATATAGTTTTCAGCTATATTTTTGGGATGTTACATTAATGGTATCAGAGCAGTTCTTTCCTTAGAAATCCTATAGGTTATGAATATACTATGTTTCACTAGTACAAAAATCGCGTACAATATCAAATATTTTGGGCTTTTAACGGCGAAATCGCAAACGACGTCATATCAGGAGACGTTAAATTTATGTTGAATTTAAAAAATTTGACGTTAAACTTAACGTTGAATTTTGTGAATATTCGAGGTTAATCAATTTTTTTTGTTTTTTTTAATTAATTGTGATCCTTTTTTACAACTCTACGAGACCTGAAAAGCAGAAAAACAACAAATTTCAGTATTTGATATTTTATAAAGCATGAACTATGAATGTGTAGTATCAACAACAAACAATAATAACCAACAACAAACAAGTTCAATCAAACAACAACAACAAACAAGTTCAACTAAACAACAACAACAAACAAGTTCAACAAAAAAAACAACAAACAAGTTCTTCAAAACGAAAACGAAAACGAAAACGAAAACTAACCTTCAAAAGGTGGGTTCGTCGGAATAAAGTTTCGTCACAGTGAGAGAGAAAGCAGAATGCGCCTATGAAGGACAAGAACACGAAAATAATCGGTTCAAACAAACAAAAATCATACATAAAGTAATTAATTAACATGCATTTGTATCAAATGAAAGAAAGATTACATGTGATGCTCGTCAAACTTCGTTCGAGAAAAGTTTGAGAAGAGAAGAGGGTATCGCGCGCTAAGATAAAGTGAATGAATTTTCAATCTCCCGCTCAAATTTTTATTGAATTCACTAACCTTTTGACGTCGAATTTAAAAGTCATTCTGCGTTTTATATCCTTTTACGTCGAATTACAATTCTAAACGACGTTTAATAATTGCATTTATTTACAAAAATGTCAGCACTCATTTTTAACGTTGGTAATTCAATGGTTAGACGTTAAATGCGTGACGTTATAAGTTGATTTTGTACTACTGTGTGTGTTGTGTACTCAGTGTACGGTTTAGATAGTATCTTTGCCTCTTTGAGTTGGACTGATGGTTCTTTCTCTCTGAATAATCAGAAGATGGCACTTAGGCCTCCTCCTCCCCCACCCACAAATCTGGATGCACTAGACTTTATGAGAATGATGGAATCAGTAATTAATGCAATGCAACAATAGAATACAACTTTGGTTCAGCAAAATACTACGGCGATGCAGCAATTGGAGGCTGCCAGAGTATCAATTGAGGCCTCTCAGAGGCAATATGTGGATATTATGGCGATTGGTAGAGCTGGAGCGGGACCGTCTACTTCTCGGCTACTCATCAACAAGAATGGAGCTTAGAGAGTTTCCTACAACACCATCCGGCTAAGTTCAGTGGGAAGTGTAGTTCGGACGAGGCCGACCAGTGGTTCAGGGACATGGAGAGGATTTTTAATGCCAAGAGGTGTTCGGATGAGAGCAGATAGGCTTTTTCCGAGTATTTGCTGACGGGAAAGCCAGTCATTGGTGGAGTAGAATGATGATGTTGTTGGAGGGAAGCGGTACTCCTATATCTTGGGAAGTATTCAAGCAGAAGTTCTATACCGAGTACTTTCCTAACAGCGTTCGGTTTGCAAAGGAAGTGGAGTTTCTTGAGTTGGTTCAGGGGAACATGACTGTGTCTGAGTATGCTGATCGGTTCAAGCATCTTTTGAGGTTTCATACGTTGCAATGAATGAAGAGTGATAATGCAGGAAGTTTGAGAATAGGTTGATAGGTGATATCAAGCTGTTGGTTACTGGTCTGTGTATGCAAGAGTTTCCAGCTTTGGTGGACAGGGCTAGAGTTTTGGAGAAAACAAAGTTCGAAGTAGATAATCAGTAGAGGCAACAAACGAGAGTTGGAGGACTGAGTGCATCTAGAGGTAGATTCAGTCCTAGGGGGCTCCTTATTTTCGGTCTTCTTCTTCTTCTGGATCCAGGGGTTCTTCTTCACAGTCATCCGGTTTCAGTGGTCATGCTGGGAAATATGGATCTGTGAGTTGCTATAACTATGGAGGGCCTCATGTGAAGTCGGTTTGTCCTCAATTGAGAGAGTATAGGGGGTGCAATCAGTGTGGAAAGGAAGGTCATTTCGAGAGGGATTGCCCCATGGGTAGAAGAACAGTTGTTCAGAACCGTTCGGTTGGGAGGTTTCAGTCGAGAAGAGGTGCCAAACGTTAGACTACGGGAAGAGCGTATGCTATGTTAGGGACAGAAGCGGCTAGTTCAGGTAACCTTATTATCAGTGATTGCTTGTTGTATGGTAAAGATTGTGTAGTGTTTTTTGATTTGGGGGAAGCACATTCTTTTGTTTCTCAGGCATGTGTAGAGAGATTGGGGTTAACTGTGGAAGAGTTACAATGTCATCTAGTGGTGTCTACACCGGCAACTGGTTTAGTTAGGACATCTTTAATGTGTGCTAGATGTCTGGTTGAGCTTGACGGACGTCAGTTCAAGGTAAATCTTATATGTTTACCTTTGCAAGGTTTAAAAGTAATTTTAGGAATGGATTGGTTGTCTACCAATCGCATTCTTATAGATTGTGGAGAGAAATTGGTATTTCCTAAAAAGGGAGAAGTCGTGCCCTTGTCTTCTGGGCAATTGAAGCAAGATTTGTTGGAGGGAGCGTGTTGCTTTCTGGTGTCGTATCACTTGGAAGCTATTTCGAGTGAGCGGTGTGTAGACCGCTCGACAGTTGGTGTAGTAGACCATTCGGTAGTAAATGTTGTAGACCGAACGGTAGTAAGAGACTTTTTGGATGTGTTTCCTGAGGACGTGTCTGGGTTTCCTCGTCAGCGAGAAGTTGAGTTCTCTATTGATTTGGTGTTAGGTGTTGAACTAGTATCAATAGCTCCTTATAGGATAGCTCCAGCAGAGTTGGTGAAACTTAAGAAGCAGATTGAGGAATTGTTGGAGAAGTAGTTATCAGACCAAGCATTTTGCCTTGGGGTGCACCAGTTTTGCTGGTGAAGAAGAAGGATGGTAGCTCTCAGTTATGTGTGGATTACAGGCAGTTAAATAAGTTAACCATCAAGAATAAGTATTCGTTGCCTATGATTGATGACTTGATGGATCAACTGCATGGGGCTGCGGTGTTTTCCAAGATAGACTTGAGATCAGGTTATCATCAAATTTTGGTCAAGATAGTGAACGTTCAGAAGAGTGCTTTCAGGTCTCGGTATGGTCACTATGAGTATGTGGTGATGTCGTTCGGTGTTACTAACGCTCTGGCCATATTCATGGACTACATGAATCGCATCTTCCGACTGTTCCTAGACAAGTTTGTGATGGTCTTCATTGATGATATACTGATCTACTCCAGAACTAGAGTGGAGCATGAGGGAAAAGAAGTTGTATGCTAAGTTGTCCAAGTGTGAGTTCTTGACGGATGAAGTACAATTCTTAGGGCATGTGGTCTCGACTGATGGCATTTCTGTGGATTCTGCAAAGGTGCAGGCGGTTTTTCAATGGGAGAGGCCCAATTCGGTCACGAAAGTCAGAAGTTTTGTTGGGTTGGCAGACTACTATCAGCGCTTCATTGAGGGTTTTTCAAGAATTGTAGCGTCATTGACTAGGTTAACTAGGAAGGATCAGCCTTTCGCTTGGGCGAATCATTGGAAGATAAGTTTCAGGAGTTGAAGCAGAAGTTTACTAGTGCTCCTGTGTTGGTAATCCCTGACACAAGTAAACCTTTTGAGGTTTTCTACGATGCCTCCTATCAGGGATTAGGTTGTGTTTTGATGTAGGAAGGAAAGGTGGTAGCCTATACTTCAAGGCAATTGAAGGTTCATGAGAGGAATTATCCCACTCATGACTTGGAGTTGGCGGCAGTGGTGTTTGCCTTGAAGATTTGGAGGCATTTTCTGTATGGTGCTCGGTTTCAGGTGTTCAGTGATCACAAGAGCTTAAAGTATTTCTTTTATCAAAAGGAGCTGAACATGAGGCAGAGAAGATGGATGGAATTCATAAAGAACTATGAATTTGACCTACTTTATCATCCTGGAAAGGCTAATGTAGTGGTTGATGCCTTGAGCAGGAAGACTGTGCATGTGTCGACAATGATGGTCCGAGAACTCGAATTGGTTGAAAGCTTTCGAGATTTAAAGCTACAAGAGGAGTTAGAACCGGACGATATTATATGCAGCCGCTTAGTGGTAGAAAGTGAACTTTTGAACAGAATTCGAGAGAAGTAGTTGGTAGATGTTGAGCTACAGAAGTCAAGAGGACTGATCAGTAATGAACAAGGGAAGGATTTCGTTTTGGGATCGGACAATATTTTTAGGTTCAGAGGAAGAATTTGTGTTCCTAATAATGGGGAAACTAAGAGGTTGATTCTTGAGGAAGGACATCAGAGTTGTTTTAGCATGCATCCAGGCATGACTAAAATGTACCAGGATCTCAAAGAATCATTTTGGTGGTCGGGTATGAAAGCAGATGTTGCTTGGTTTGTGTCATCTTTCTTAACATGTCAAAAGGCGAAGGTAGAGCATCATAGACCAGGAGGTTTATTGCAATAGTTGGAGATTCCTGAGTGGAAATGAGATAACATTGCCATGGACTTCGTCACTCATCTTCCTCGTTCGGTCAAAGGCAATGATGCCATTTGGGTTGTTGTGGATAGGTTGACAAAGAGTGCTCACTTCATGGCCATTAATTTGAGAATGTCAATGACAAATCTTGCTCAGTTGTACATCAGAAAAGTGGTGAGATTGCATGGAGTGTTGTCTAGTATTACTTCAGATAAAGATCATCGGTTCACTTCTAGATTTTGGCAGTCATTGATAGGTGAGTTGGGCAGTCGGTTACAGATGAGTTCGGCTTATCATCCTCAAACGGACGGTCAGTCAGAGAGAACGATCCAAACACTAGAGGACTTACTAAGGACGTGTGTTTTGGATCATTTGGGAGTATGGGATGAAGTTTGGGCATTGGTTGAGTTCACCTACAACAATAGTTACCAGTCCAGTTTTGGCATGGTACCTTTTGAAGCACTCTATGGGAGGTGTTGTAGGACTCCACTTTGTTGGTTTAAAGATGGAGAATCTGTTTTGACTAGGCCAGAATTGATTCAGCAGACGATTGAGAAAGTGAAGTTGATTCAGGAGAGATTGAGGGCAGCTTAGAGTAGGAAGAAATCCTATGTCGACCGAAGACGAAAACCTTTAGAGTTTGTAGTTGGAGATCATGTCTTCTTCCGAGTGACTCCTACTACTGGTGTTGGAAGAGTCGTCCGTACAAAGAAGTTGTCTCCTAAGTTCATTGGTCCTTATAAGATTTTGAGACGTATAGGATCAATTGCTTATGAGATAGTTTTGTCGCCTCAGCTATCCAACCTTCATTCGGTTTTTCACGTATCTCAGCTCAAGAAATATGTGTCGGACCCTTCTCATGTGCTGGAATTAGAAGACGTGCAAGTTAGAGAGGAGCATTCGGTTGAGATGCAACCGGTCAACATTTTGGAGAACCAAACTAAGCAACTTAGAGGAAAATCCATTAGTCTAGTTAAGGTCGTTTGGGATAGAAGGATAGGTGACTCTACCTGGGAATTGGAAGATGTCATTAGAGAGTTGTACCCTCAACTGTTCTCTGGTAAGTCCAATTTTCGAGGACGAATTTTTTTTTTGTTGGGGAGAATGTAAGAGTCGAGAGGTTTAAAGAAATTTTGGAACAGACAGGTGTAGGCAAAGGATGGGACCGAGCGGTTTAGATTAAAAGGAGAGTGATATATTAATGAAAGTTTCAAAAGTTCGTTCCATTTTCTGAATATCTCTCTCCAAAACTTCTACTCTATTATTTTCTCCTCCTTCTCTCTAGATTTCCTCAATCTCACTTCATCTGTTTAACAATCAAACCGTGCCTAAGCAATCAGGGTGTCAAGAGCTTTCTCTTTCACCGATCGGTTTAGTGCTTAGAGTTGGTAAGTTTTGTTCCTTTAATTCTTGTGAATTTCTGGCACATGCAAGTAAGCCTTTTGCTTACATGTGTTCATCAGTCTTATCTTCCCCTTTCTAACTTCATTTTTGGTACTTTGGTTGGTCTCTTCTCACAAATCGATAAGCTATAGGTGTTCTTAGGATTTTTTGGAAGTGTGAGCAAATTTCTAGAAGAGTAGAAGTTGTTCGATTCGGTTAAGAGGTAAGAGATGCTAGTTAATTTAATTGATTGGTTGATGATGTATGAAAATGTTGTTTGATGGTTTTGTATGTGTGTGAAATTGAAAGTTTGTGTGTTCGACATTGTTTTTGTGGGATGTTAAATGATGTGGTCATTGAGTTGTGGATTATGTAGAATTTGTAGTGAATTTTGGTTTGGGATTCTTTAAAATGATGTTAGAAAGATTTAGGTACCATTGGATAGGTGTAAAGGGGTATATGATTCAGGTTTGGAGGATTAGAAGTTGGGAAAAATGTTTAGTTTGGATAAAGTCTAGTGTGTTCATCATTCTGCAGAAGTTATGCATAATTATGCAAAATTTGCGCACGCGCTGTTGACTGCTCGGTCTTATTCAAGTGTTAAGTCATTAACTGGAGGCGGTCTCTTTAGAGTATTCTCAGTTCATGACCGTTCGATCTTAGTAGTGCTCGATTTTGTACTAGCGTTCGGTCTTAGTAGTGCTCGGTCTTGTATTAGCATTCAATTGAATATAGCGTTCGGTCTAGTTATAGTTTTCGGTCTTGACCTAGTGTTCGGCCTAGATAAAGTATCTAGTATAGTCTAAGTTCTCGGTCTCACACTAATACTCGGTTTGTATTGGTGTTCGGTCTTAACTACGTTCAGCCTCTTATGGACCTCATCTGTTAATAATCTTTCCAACATGTTTTAGTGTTTGATCTAAGCTCTAAAGTGTTCGGTCTAAGTTATAGACCGTTCGGTCCTGTTATTTGGGGTAGTGAGAAACTGTTCGATTTTCGATGTACGCAGCGTGTTTGGTCTTGCATGTGGTTTCCATTGTTGTTTGAAAACTTGTTTAAATTCAGTTATATGAACATGCTATGTATGAATAATGGAGTGGATTTTTTTATAAAGGATTATGTTTCAGTTGGTATGAAAGAGAATTCCAAGGAGGAATGTCTCAGTGATTGGTTATCAAAGTGGTGGTAAAGTATGAATATGGGCAACGAAATCTACGGCGTTCATCCTGAAATTCTAGTGACTACCAATTCTCAAGTAGAGATGGGTAA